TGTCACGGGTGTGCGTTCGCTGCGCTGCTGGTGCAGGTCCTGGCCCAAGGGTATGGATGCTTGGGTAGCTGAGGATGGAAGGCAACCCTAAACCCTAAACCCTAAACCCTAAACCCTAGACCCTAAACCCTAAACCCTAAACCCTAAACCCTAAACCCTAAGCCAAGGATGGAAGCTGCCTGAACCGTGGCAGCTGTTTGCTTTTGTGTTCTGTCAGCTGACGATGTTCACCTCTGCCTTTCAATGCCGTGGATCGGACTCTCAGGGCCTCGGTAGTTAGTTTTTTTACCCTCTTTTGGTTATATATATATATATATATATATATCAACCGATTAAAACAGAAGGTGAACCCTAAACCCTAAACCCTAAACCCTAAACCCTAAACCCTAAACCCTAAACCCTAAACCCTAAACCCTAAACCCTAAACCCTAAATCCTAAACCCTGAACCCTGAACCCTGAACCCTGAACCCTAAACCCTAAACCCTAAACCCTAAACCCTGAACCCTATTCAGCCCCCTTTAAGGACCTCCCATGGGCCCAGCCGCCCGAGACCGAGTGCTACTCTTCGCTCGCCCGGTCTCCTCGGGGAAGAGGCTCCCCACATCCCAGGTGGGCAAAGCTTCCAAACGTAGGGTTTAGGGTTTAGGGTTTAGGGTTTAGGGTTTAGGGTTTAGGGCTTAGGGTTTAGGGTTTAGGGTTTATGGTTTAGGGTTTGCTCTCCAAACTTCGGGTCCCTTTGGGTGCCCTCCACTATCTTGGGCATAGTATAAAAAAAGTAGTAATACTAACAACAATAAATAAAAAAAGCAAGAATAAGAATAATATATTTTAATTTAATATTATTATTATTGTTATTATTATTATTATTATTATATATATATATGTATCTATCGTATCCTATGAATGGAAGCTGTGAAAGGGACTCTAGTTTGAGAGATCTGGGCAGGTACCTGTGGATCATCGAGCCCCGCCAGGACCTTGAGGCTACCCTAAACCCTGAACCCTAATCCCTAACCCTAAACCCTAAACCCCAAACCCTAAACCCTAAACTCTAAACCCTAAACCCTAAGTTTGGAGGCTCGAGACTCGCTGGGACCTCTGAGGGGCTCTGGCCATGAACCCCTGCGAAGCTTCTCGCGCTCCTTGGACAGGGGTTTAGGGTTTGGGGTTTAGGGTAGGGTATTGTCCGAAGTTTTTGGTTCTTGGTTTTCGGCTTTCGAATCATCAAACATTCCCCCCTCTCAGGCCCTTCACAATTTTCCGCAAAGGGCTGCACGATAGCTTCTTACAAAGCCCAATACCCTCTACAACCCTAATAAACCCTCCGGGGCCCCCGGGGCGTAAGCCTAAACCCTAAACCGTCAAACTTGTAAGGCTGGGACTCGGCGGCAACACAGGCAGAGGCGCACGGCCAGGTCAGTTCGACGGAGTGCAGCCAGCTGATGACGATGCTGCGTGAAGTCTTGGACGAGCTCAAGGAGCCTTTCGCGTAGGGTTTAGGGTTTAGGGTTTAGGGTTAAGGGTTTAGGGTTTAGGGTTTAGGGTTTAGGGTTTAGGGTTTCTCTCCCTTCCCCCACAACGACGCAAGATGCCTTACCTCCACCCTTCCCTTCCCCCCTCCCCCCCACCTCCCCCTCACATACTCTTTGGAGTTTCGTGTCTGGGTTGCAGAAGGTTGAACTAAAAGGAAAGGTTTCCAACCCTCAGGGTCCACGTTAGAAGCCCGAGATGTTAGTTGATAAACCCCGAAAGCCTAAACCCTAAACCGAAACCTTATGTCAAGCATACGTGCTTGATTCTACTGGATTTGCCTAAACCCCAAAACCCCAAAGCCCTGCATCTCAATCCCCTGCTTTGCGCCCGTGTCCGGAACCACAAACCTCCAAACGCAAGAATATGGCCTATGCATGTGGATATATTCACACACTTATATACATGTATATGTAGGTATATCGATATACATACACATGGTATGACAGATGTGTTTATGTTAGGATATGTATATGTATACATATATACATACGTATATTGTGTAAATATATATATATATATGTATGTATACATACGTATATATACATATACATATACATATACATTCAACCCATGCGAACATCACCAACTTTTATCCTGGTTCCAAGAGAGTATAGAAATCTCACCCAGCAACGCACCCCAACACCCAGATCCACTTCCAAACCCCAAGAAGCCCCGTACCCTAGGCCCAACGTTCGCCAACAGCCCGCAATACCCAAAACCCCCAAACCCCTAAACCTCATGTACCCCTAAACCCCCGGGCCCTAAACCCTAAACCCTAAACCTAAACCCTAAACCCTAAACCCTAAACCCTAAACCCTAAAAACCCGAAACCCCTAAATCCCTAAACCCCTCCTCCGCGGTCTCTGAGGAGCTGAAAGCGAAGGATGCCCCAAGGTTGCGCAGTCTGGAGGTGGGGTGTTAGCTTAGGGTTTAGGGTTTAGGGTTTAGGGTTTAGGGTTTAGGCTTTAGGGTTTAGGGTTCAGGGTTCAGGGTTTAGGGTTTGGGGGTTTCGGGGTTTAGGGGTTTATGGGGTTTAGGGGTTTAGGGGTTTAGGGGTTTAGGGGTTTAGGGGTTTTGGGTCGGGGTTTACTCGGAACAGCCAGGGCTCCTGAGTCCTACGCGCGAGTGTCCCAAGCCAAACGTCAAGTTCCCTCCTCTTCCCAATCGGCAGCCGCGCCCCTGAGCCCTAAACCCTGAACCCTACATCCCAAACCCTAACCCCCAAACCCTAAACCCCAAACCCTAAACCCTAAACCCTAAACCCTAAACCCTAAACCCTAAACCCTAAACCCCTGAGGCAACCGTCGAGGCAGCTGTGAGGCCGACACTTCTGACCTCCCTGTGCGGATCGGGGTCTGGGGTGTCACGCAACACAAAGTTGCCAGGGAGCCCCATACCTCTTAGGTAGGGTTTAGGGTTTAGGGTTCAGGGTTTAGGGTTTAGGGATTAGGGTTTAGGGTTCGGTGTTCAGGGTTTAGGGTTTAGGGTTAGTGTCTAGGGTTTAGGGTTTGCCTAGAGGTTTGGTTAGCTGGGTAGGCTCTTGGGAAGATTTTGCTTTATTTCCCTTCTTGGGTTTAAGAGGGCGGAGGGTTTTAAGGGCCGACCTAGTTAAGAGGACCTATTTGGAGGTTCACGGGTACTTCTGAGTAGGGTTGTAAGCACCCTAAATAAGGTTATTACTATAGTGACCTACTTGTATAGTGGTACCCATAAACCTCCAAGCAAGGCCCAAAAGTCCTGGACACAAACTGGGGTGAGGACCCTCGGCCCACAAATCTTTGAACGACCTTAGAGAAAGACGGGGGAAACCACTTTGATACTACCGGTTTAGGGTTTAGGGTTTAGGGTTTCGGGTTTGGGGTTTAGGGTTTAGGGTTTAGGGTTGTCGTTGGTACGGAATAAGACATGAGCCTTCACATTTCTCCTCATCAGCATCCCCTTCCTTGAGCAGCAGGCTTAAGGACAGGCTTCCTTATTCTTGATCCTGGCGTAGCAGCCCGCGCATCCTTCCCTTAAGTTATCTTGTAATTCGCTGTGTGGTTGGACCTCTGGGGTCGGGTCCCTGGTGTTTTATCTGTCCAAGCACAAGGCTTGCACAGCACATTTCAGGCCACAAAGAATTTTGTTCCCAAAGCGGATGTGCGAAATTCAATGAATGTAAAGGGCCGTTTTAAGGGAACATGGGGCAAAATGGCCCATCCCGGCACAGCCGAGATCATGCAGATGCTTTCAGAGCTTGTGAAAACACGTGCCCGCGTTGGCGGAGAAGCTCTATAGGTGTAGAGGTTTAGGGTTATAGGGTTATAGGGTTTAGGGTTTAGGGTTTAGGGTTTAGGGTTCAGGGTTTAGGGTTTAGGCTTCGGTCGCTTTACGGGGCTCAGAGAGTTTATGTACAGTGTTGGGTGGCCTACTTACTACTTTCGGGTTCAAGGGTTCAGGCCCGTTTAGGGCGTCATGTGTAGGGTTTAGGGTTTCTACAGGGCCTAAAAGCGAAACGCCGGCGACAGAGACGCGATGACAGCAAGTACTCGTGTAAAGAGCGTCCATGGCGCAGCAGTTTGCCGAATATGCGGTCAACATCTTGGGAAAGCCGTCTGCACACAGCGTGCGCAAAATTTATCGAGTGCGGCCATTGCGGGATGTCTTTACCCTAAACCCTAAACCCCTAAACCCCTAAACCCCTAAACCCCTAAACCCCTAAACCCCTAAACCCCTAAACCCCTAAACCCCTAAACCCCTAAACCCCTAAACCCCTAAACCCTAAACCCTAAACCCCAAACCCGAAACCCTAAACCCTAAACCCTAAACCCTAAACCCTAAACCCCTACACTGGGCTGGCGGCTTGGCTGTAAGAGGCCTAAACCTTAAACCCCAAACCCCCCAAACCCCCCAAATTTAAGAGCCTCCGGCCTAAACCCTAAACCCTAATCCCTAACTTCACGTAGGGCTTCAGGGCTTCAAGGCCCAGGCAGGAGCAGCAGAGGGGCTGTAGTCTAAGGGTCGTTCCATGTGCTGTTCATAGGGTTTAGGGTCTATTGTTTAGGGTTTAAGGTTACACGGGAGGGGATCCTACTATTTTGGGGGACTCTACCACCCCCGTTTAGGGTTTAGGTCTAGGGTACTAACCCCCCCCCCCTCTGTACTACACCCCGCTAGTACCCCCCCATAATTACGGCTGTTTAGGGTTTAGGGTTTAGGGTAAAGAGACAATAGGGTTAATAGGTTTTTTTTAGGGATAGTTAAGCCTATGGAAGGTTTTTTAACCGGGGGAACCTGGGGGGGGGGGGAGGGTTTGAAATAGCAGGGAAACCGGTCCCTTATCTCCCTGATGGGGTTCTGAAGTAAGGGCCCCTGGGATGCACCCGGTAGGGTTTAGGGTTTAGGGTTTAGGGTTTAGGGTTTAGGGTTTAGGGTTTATAGGGTTTAGGGTTTAGGGTTTAGGGTTCAGGGCAGCGCCTCGGCTGAGGCAGAGACCTTCGGCTTCTGGCAGCTTCCGGATGAGGCCGCCCAGCCCTACATGCTCAACCTTCGACTCCTCACATTCTCAGCCCTTAACCCTAAACCCTAAATTCTCAACCCTAAACCCTAAACCCTAAACCCTAAACCCTAAACCCTAAACCCTAAACCCTAAATCCTCAACCCTGCACCCTCAACTCGGAACCCTCAGACCTCAACCCATCAAGCCTCAGCCTTAAGCCCTAAACCCTAAACCCTAAACCCTAAACCCTAAACCCTAAACCCTAAACCCTAAACCCTAAACCCTAAACCCTAAACCCTAAACCCTAAACCCTGCCTTTACCGCTGCAGTTGCGCATCATCAGTTTTCGGGCTCTGTAGGCTTGGATCCCAACTCCTACTGAATAAAAATGCAAGTGATGCCCTCTATTTAGTATGTTGGGGTTTCGGGTTTAGAGTTCAGGGCTTCGGGTTTAGGGTTTAGGGTTTAGGGTTTAGGGTTTGGGGGTTAGGGTTCAGGAAAGGCAAGCAACACAACCCTGCTAGCTTGCTCGGCATACAAGCGGTCGAAGTCGGACGACTCTTTGGCTGTTTTTTTCTCACAGAACATGTCGCCAGGGCCTACCTAGAACTCTACACCATGACAACATCCAGCCCCCCAACGCCCCCAAGACCTCAAACCCCTAACCACCCTAAACCCTAAACCCTAGACACCCTAAACCCTAAACCTAAACCCTAAACCCTAAACCCTAAACCCTAAACCCTAAACCCTAAACCCTAAACCCTGAACAACTTGCCATCCTTGCGAAGCGGCTGCCCTTTCCGTCTCAGTTTGCCTATGGAGGATCTTCTTTAAGTCTAGAGTAGTAGGGTTTAGGGTTTAGGGTTTAGGGTTTTAGGGTTTAGGGTTTAGGGTTCTAGACACGCCCTTGGGATGTATAAGGTAATTCGTTTCGGTTTCGGGTTTGAGGTTCAGGGTTTTGAGTTTAGGGCTTAGCACTTGACGACAGCCGGAAAGAAAGAGCACCAAAAATGCTGCAACCTTGAATCTTGAAGCCTAAGCCCTAAACCCTAATACCCTAAATCCTAAACCCTATGCAAGCTCTGTGTCAGCGGTCCAGCCCCCCCCCCCCCCCCCCCCACCCTCAACCCTAAACCCCAAACCCCAAACCCTCAGCCCTAAACCCTAAACCCTAAACCCTAAACTGAGTGAGCCCGGGGCCGTCGAGCAGGGCGAACGCGCCGAAGCCGGCAGGCGAGGCCGCTCCGGAGCCAGAAGCCCTCCGGCGGGCGACGGAGCTCCAGTCCCGCAGGCAGCTGCGGGCTGCGCGATGGACCCGACAGGTCGCTGGCGAGAAACCCGTCAGGTCGCCCTAGAATAAGACACCCCAAACCTTCGGGTAAAACATCGCAACCTCCTGCCCCTGCCTGGGAGGCCCCTGCCTGGGAGGCCCCTGCCTGGGAGGCCCCTGCCTGGGAGGCCCCTGCCTGGAGGCCCCTGCCTGGGAGGCCCCTGCCTGCCTGAAAGGCCCTGCCTGGGAGGCCCCTGCCTGGGAGGCCCCTGGGAGGCCCCTGCCTGGGAGGCCCCTGCCTGATAAAAACCTGCCTGGAGGCCCCTGCCTGGGAGGCCCCTGCCTGGGAGGCCCCTGCCTGGGAGGCCCCTGCCTGGGAGGCCCCTGCCTGGGAGGCCCCTGCCTGGGAGATTGCCTGGGAGGCCCCTCCCTGCCTGGAGCCCTGTTTGGGAGGCCCCTGCCTGGGCCCCATGGTGGAAGGCCCCTGCATCAAAAGGCCCCTTGCCTGGGAGGCCCCTGCCTGGGAGGCCCCTGCCTGGGAGGCCCCTGCCTGGGAGGCCGCCCTGCCTGGTGCCTGGCCCCTGCCTGAGGCCCGCCTGGGGGAGGTCGCTCCTGTCGGGCAGGCCCCTGCCTGGCAGGGCCCTGACTGGGAGGCCCCTGTCTGGGGCCCTCTGCAGCTGGGAGGCTTCTGCCTGAAAGGCCCCAACCTGGAAGGCCTAAAAGACCCCTGTGTGGGAAGCCTCATGTGGGAGGCCCCTGCCTGGGCCCCTGCCTAAAAGACCCTTGCCTGGGAGCCCCCCTTTATTCGGAGGTCGCCTGTCTGGGCGCTGCCTCGGAGCCCCTTGCCTGGAGGCCCCCTGTTTGGGAGGCCTGCCTGGAAGGCCCCTGCCTGGGAGCCCCTGCCTGGGAGCCCTGGCTCTGGCCTTGGCTTTGGTCTGAGGATTTTTGCAAGGGATCCAGATCCCCACAGGACGCAGTATGCAAGGGCGAAGGCGGCAGCCAGCCCCAAGCCCAAACCTTCGGGTTTTTAAGTTTTAGAAAAACTTGCTGGGAGGCTGTGGCCCCCTGCCTGGGACTGGATCTGCTTACCCTGCCTGAAAAACAGGCCCCTCCCTTGCAATGCCTAGGGGCTGCGAGCTTCAGGGTAGTTGATCGGCATCGATGCCGAGCTTCTAAACCCAACCAATAGACAAGAGAAAAATAACAAAAGCACGATCAGAGTTCAAAAGAACCCTGAACCCGTAGAGGTTAAGGCGAGGGTGGAGCGCCAGCGGGGGTGGGCTTATGCAACTCGGGGCGCACGCCTGGGTGCTTTCAGCACCAGCGCGCCCACTCATTGAGACACCCTAAACCCCAAACCCTAAACCCTAAACCCTAAACCCTAAACCCTAAACCCCTAAACCCTAAACCCCCCCCCCCCCCCCCCCAAACGCAGGCCCTGAATGGCTTGGTCGGCCAGCTCCTGCAGGCGGCTCCCAAACCAAGCACCGGCATCCGGCAGTGGACGCAGGAGACCACATTCTACTACTATCTGCTTAAGAACCCCAAAAGAATTAACTATCTGCTTAAGAACCCCAAAAGAATAAAAAACAAAATCAAACTCCCATATTTTACCCTTAGTAAGGAAGTTTTTTTTTTTTTTTAAAAGTTTTTGGGGTTCTTAAGCAATTAGTAGTCTAGGGCCGGGGGGGTGTGCTGTGGGGTGTAGGATTTAGGGTTAAGGGTTTAGGGTTCAGGGTTCAGGGGGTTTAGGGGGTTTAGGGGGTTTAGGGGGTTTAGGGGGTTTGGGGGGTTTGGGGGGGTGGGGGGTTTAGTTAGGGTTTAGGGTTTAGGGTTTAGGGAGTGACAGCATTTTTAATCTTATCCAGATAAAGAGGGGGTAGGGTTTAGGCGGCTTCAGGCTTTGTACCCCTTGCGAATTTCCCCAAGTCGTATTCGAGCGTCCCATTCCTTGACTAGCAATTGGCGCTTCTTCCGTTGGAGTATGGCGAACAGCCAGAACTTAGCATGCCCCGAGCTCATATGGGGGCTTCCGAAAATCTACTAATTGCTTAAGAACCACCCCCCCCCCCCCACAAAAACAAAAGAGCAAGAGTAAACATATTCTTCCTTATATAAGGGTAATGTATTTTATTCTTTCTGGGGGCTCTTACGCAAATAGTAGTAGTTAGGGGTACTTTATTGGGGTCCTGATGATAAGGGAATCCTATTAATTTGGGGTCTCTTATCGGGGTCCCTGATTTTGGTAAACGCCCATAGCCCTGTCGAGACACGTTTCTTCTCAAGAAGGACAACCATGGTGCTGGTTGTGTGTGTGTACCTCTGCCTTGAACCATGAGAAGCATTGACTTCTTCCGTAATTCGACGTGGGATCCTCAACCTTAAGCCCTAAACCCGACTTTGATTTTGAAGCTTGTCCTTCTGTTCACAGCTTGTACTTGGAGGCTCAGGGGTACTTATAAGTAGGGTTGTAAGTGCCCTAAGTAAAACTTTAAAGTTATGGCCGTAGAGCTACCTTCTAACCCTACTTCTTCGCAAGTGCCCATGAACCTCCAACTGGACCCTAAACCCTAAACCCTAAACCCTAAACCCTAAAACCCTGAACCCTCAACCCTGAATAGGGTTTAGGGTGTAGGGCTTCCGGTTTGGGGTTGAGGGTTTGGGTCTGTGGGGGTGGATTCTGGGATTGGGGCCTGAGAACTTTTCGGTTTGGGCTTCAGGCTTCGGATAGCGGGTGTTGGAGCTTGTGGTGTGGATTTGGGGGCAGGGTTTAGGGTTTCGGGTTGGGGTTTAGGGTTTAGGGTTTAGGGTTTAGGGTTTAGGGTTTAGGGTTTAGGGTTTAGGGTTTAGGGTTTAGGGTTTAGGGTTTAGGGTTTAGGGTTTAGGGTTTAGGGTTTCGAGCTTAGGGTTGTCTCAGCCTTCTTGGACGCCCTTCTTTCTTCTTTTGCTGGGCCACCGGTCCAGGAGTGGGCCAAAGGACAGAGTATGGGTGACTTGGAGCCTGCAGCTTGGCTAAACCCTAAACCCTAGCCCTAAACCCGAAACCCTAAACCCTAAACCCTAAACCCTAAACCCTAAATATAGACCCCTTAGGATTTTCACTTATGTATAGATTTCAAGGGAGTGTTCTTTCAAGGGAGTAAGACTCGTCCCCAAAACGCAAGGGTGCAGCGCTAAAGCAAGGTAAAACCCCAACAGCCCTGCCTTTAGGACCACAGGGCTTTGCAAACGCCCCATTATGGCTGTACTTCTAACCTATAGTTCTAACCCCATTCGGGCAGAGAAGGGGCTTATACGTTTGTTATCACTACACGTAGAATGGGTTGCTAAGTAACCTAATCCCTAAACCCTACACGCTAAACCCTAAACCCTAAACCCTAAACCCTAAACCCTAAACCCTAAACCCTAAACCCTAAACCCTAAACCCTAGACCCTAGACCCTAAACCCTAAACCCTAAACCTGCAAGTACAGCCCCCCTAGGCCGGCCCTCTCAACTGCGTGGTGCCCGTGGACTCCTACCGGACTGCTGCGATCCTTGGCCATCGTTTGGGTGTGTTTAGGGTTTAGGGTTTAGGGTTTAGGGTTTAGGGTTTAGGGTTTAGGGCCTTAGGGTTTTAGGGTTTTAGGCCTTTTGGGTTTAAAGCGGTTTTTCAGTCGGCGGGCCTCCTTGCTTGGAACGCCGAATCCAGTGCCGCTTCACATAAGGAAGGAAGCTGTCCGTGGTGAAGTTCAGGGTTTAGGGGCAGGGTTTGGGGTTTGGGGTTTGGGGTTTTTGGGTTTTTGGGTTTTTGGGTTCTGGGTTCTGGGTTCTGGGTACGCACGCCCGAACCCAAAAACCCTCACCATAGCGCCCTGAGCACTAAACCGCAAGTCCTAAACCCTTAAACCCTGAACCCTAAACCCTAAACCCTAAACCCTAAACCGACGGAGGACTTCCATGACCGACAACGAGCCACGAGTGCACGTGAGCCGGACCATCGCCACATCAAGGCCGACTCCCAACGGGGTTCTTTTTTTTGGGGTTTAGGGTTTAGGGTTTAGGGTTGGGGATTTGTGGGTCTTGCGGAGTTGAGGGGTTGGGGGGTTTAGGGTTTAGGGGAGTTGGGGTTTGGGATTGTGGAGTCTAGGTGAGGCATTTCGGGGGGTTGGTGTGGGCCCAGACCCAACATCCGAACCCCGAACCCCAGAAGGCGCCGATGGCGCAGCTAGGGTTTGGGGGCGTCCGACCTCTTGGGGTACGAAGAGGGGAGGGGTTAGGGTTTAGGGTTTAGGGTTTGGGGTTTAGGGTTTAGGGTCTAGGGTTTAGGGTTTAGGGTTATGTACCCTGATGCACATAAAGCTGGGGATGCTTGAATGGTTGTTAACAAGACATGCTCAAACTCCCTCCGCGTGGCCTGTGCATGCTATTGGCCTCCACTGCTTTCCCAGGTTCAGTCACACGCCTACTTCCGACGCTTGGTAGCCCAATGGCACCCTGAACCCAGTCGTTTTTTTTGGTGGATTCCCTTGTAAGCTAACCAACCAAATACAAGGGTACCCTTCTTATAAGATGCTTACTGTGCCCCTTAACCCTAAACCCTGACTATAAGATGGTTACTGTGGGGAGGTGGGGTTCTGGGCTCCCGTATAAAGAATCCAACCCCAAAAAGGGTACCCTAAACCCTAAACCCCAAACCCCAAACCCTAAACTCTCCCTTCTTGTAAAAACAAAACCTTCTTGTAGGATGGTTACTGGGTTACCAAGGACGGCATTGGCATCGAAACCGACCGCTTCGCCACCAACCGCGTCCTCAGAGGGAGCAAGACAAAAATGCTGGACCTGCCAGACTGGACAGGCACCTGGGCGTGGGCAAAGGCTTTCGGGTTTAGGGTTTAGGGTTTAGGGTTTAGTTTTAGGGTTTAGGGTTTAGGGTTTAGGGTTCAGGGTTTAGGGTTTAGGGTTTGGGGTTTAGGGTTTAGGGTTTAGGGTTGAGGGTTTAGGGTTGAGGGTTTAGGGTTTAGGGTTTAGGGCTTAGGGTTTAGGGCTTAGGGTTGTAGGTTAGGGTTCAGCCAAGTACCCAGTGGACCTTACACACCAGAACCCTTCGCACCACCCCATCCCCCATCAGCGATAAACACTACCCGCAACCCTTAACCCTGAACCCTGAACCGCGTTATGTACGCTATATATCCATATTCTATATATATATATATAAGATTGTATTTATAGATAGATCAGGCTCATATTAAAGTAGAAGCCCCTCAACAGGACCATAATATAGAGAACCTGGCGCATTGCACTCGACAGCCCCAAGGGCACTTCATCAACACCAGCTACCTGCGCATGATCAGCTATGGATTGCACCTGCTTGTCTTCCTTTCCTGCCTCGGCTATGCTTCAGACCTCATCACGAACAAGCACCTTGGGCCTAAACCCTAAGCCCTAAAGCCCAAACCCCATATCCCAACCCTGAAGCTTGAAACTCGGTTTGGGGTTTAGGGTTTAGAGCTTTTAGGGTTTTTAGGGTTTTTTTTTCTGGTTTTTTAGGGTTTTTAGGGTTTTTAGGGTTTTTAGGGTTTTTAGGTTTTTTAGGGTTTTTAGGTGTTTTAGGGTTTTTAGGGTTTTAGGGTTTTTAGGGTTTTGGGGGTTTTTAGGGTTTTTGGGGTCTTTAGGGTTTTTAGGTTGGGAATCTTTTCTGGCGACCTGAAGCGTTTGAGAGTTCAGGCTGGAGAGCGACATGTGGGCGCCCAGGTGGTTTGCACGAAGCAAGGAGCCCTACCCAAAATCTCAAACCCTCAGCCCTACAGAACCCGAGCCCGAGACCGCAATCACTGAATCCCAAACCCTGCACCCTAGGGTCCAGCACTGTCAATTTTGAGCTGGAGCATACCTGGCTAGCTAAGGGTAGTTTATGGGGGCCTTGAGTATGGTTTTTTTGCCTTTCTAATTATGGGTTTTGAAACATGGGCCGGGTTGCACAGGGTAGAAAAGAGGTATATCAGGGGTCCCCTTTTAGGGGCCCATGTTGTGGGACCATGTAACTGCCCTAAGAGGCGATGTCCCTTGTCTACGCCACAGTGGACCGCTCTCATGGTCTACAGATCATCTGTTCGGTTTGGGGTGTCAATGCCTAATTCCAGACAGATGTACTCCTAAACCCTAGAGTCTATCCCTAAACCCTAAACCCTAAACCCTAAACCCTGAACCCTAAACCCTAAACCCTAAACCCTAAACCCTCCAAACATCTACAGGTACCCGAATGCTGTGACTCTCTTCAGCTGGCCGATCTTCTTCGCAAGGCCGCGCATAGCGGGCGGGCTCGAGGTTTCATTAGGGTTCAGGGTTTAGGGTTTAGGGTTTAGGGTTTGGGGTTTAGGGTTAAGGGTTTAGGGTTTGGGGTTTAGGGGTAAGGGCTTGGGGTTTGGGGTTTGGGGTTTGTTTAGGGTTTAGGGTTTAGGGGTTTATAGTTTAAGGGTTTCGGGGCATCCGGGTGAAGCGCTCTCTAGTCCCTACCTCTGCTGCACTTCGCCCCAAGCCACGTAGGGTTCAAGCTTGGGTTACGCCCAATATAGGTTTGCAATAGACTGCTCCCTACACCCTAAACCCTTCCTTTTGGCGCGGATGCCACCTACCGTTTCTCGACCAGTTCTCTTCTACTACTTGCTTAAGACCCCCCAAAAAACAAAAGGATAGTCTTCCTGATAAGGGCAATATTAATAGGGCTTATTCTATGTCTTGCGCGAAGCAAATCATAGTCCGGCGTTCATCCCTGCTTCTCCCAGTATGTTCGAGCCTTGTGGCCGTCCCAGTCCCTGCTACAAGAAGGAGTTGAAGAAACAGGAAGTCACAAGGGCTACTCCGCCCCATTTGCTCTTCAAGTTCAATGGCGAGTTGATGAACGACCGGTACAAGACCTCAGCAGTCAAGTGGGGGTTGAAAGCGGGCAATGTCATTCAGGTCTCCGTCAAGGACGACGCGAAGCATGATAAGAAGGGCAAGTGAGCGTTCGAAGCAGTCGGTGCTCTTCCTAAAACTAAGAAACAACCCTTGCCGTTTAACCTATAGATAGTAGAACCCTAGAACTCTAGAACCCTAAAATTCTGGAACCCTCCCTAGAACCCTAGAACCCTAGAACCCTAGAACCCTAGAACCCTAGACCCTAGAACCCTAGAAGCCTAGAAGCCTAGAACCCTAGAACCCTAGAACTCTAGAACCCTAGAACCCTAGAACCCTAGAACCCTAGAAGCCTAGAAGCCTAGAAGCCTAGAACCCTAGAACCCTAGAGCCCTGGAACCCTAGAACCCTAGAACCCTGAGAAACCCTAGAACCCTGAGAAACCCTAGAACCCTAGAACCCTAGAACTCTAGAACCCCAGAACCCTAGAACCCTAGAACCCTCGAACCCTCGAACCCTCGAAACCTCGAGCCCTAGAGCCCTGGAACCCTAGAACCCTAGAACCCTAGAACCCTAGAAGCCTAGAACCCTAGAACCCTAGAGCCCTAGAACCTTGAACCCTATAAACCCTAGACCCTCACAGCCTTTGGGAGGTTGGGTGGCATGGCCTGCGCCATCTACTCGGCCCTCCTCTTCCTAAGCATGTCCCGGGGGCTTCTGAGCCAGGGGCAGCAATTAAGAGGGCTTATTAGGGTTCAGGGTTGAGTGTTTCGGGCCGTTCTCCGCATTATGGGCCCTTCTTGGGTACAGCAAGCCCCTCTGAGTTTATTGTTTCGTGCCTAAACCCTAAACCCTAAACCCTAAACCCTAAACCCTAAACCCTAAACCCTAAACCCTAAACCCTAAACCCTAAACCCCCTCAAGGAGCCTCCTCTCACGCTGCCTGCCGAAGCATGGTCGGAACCTCTGGTTCACCTTCTTGGACTCGCACAAGGACTCCCGGGCATGCCCGACAACCCGAAGCCGCGCGATGAACCCTAAACCCTAAACCCTAAACCCTAAACCCTAAACCCTAAACCCTAAACCCTAAACCCTAAACCCTAAACCCTAAACCCTAAACCCTAAACCCTAAACCCTAAACCCTAAACCCTAAACCCTAAACCCTAAACCCTATCCGGTGAGGGGAGGGAGGGGGGTGGGGGGAGGGGGAGGGGGGATGAGGAGGGGGGACACGTCGCGTTTAGGGTTTAGGGTTTAGGAGCCCTAAAAACCTGAAACCCAAGAAAGCCCAGGTTGTGAACCTAAGACATACCCCCCCCCCCGCCCACCCCCACCTCCCCTCCACCCCTCCCCGCCCAACAAAAAAAAATCAATAACATGAATAAACTCACCCCCCATCCTCAACAAAGAAGCTGAGCTGAAGCCGCAACCTGGTGTAAGGCCTATTGGGGAAGTTAGGGTTTTGGTTGTTGGTTAGGGTTTAGGGTTTAGGCGGGTTTGGGGTGTGGGGTTTAGGGTTTAGGGTGCAAGTAAGGATTCTCAGTTTCGAGTTTTGGAGTTTCGGCTTCGGGTTTAGCCTCTAATTTCATGCGGAGGGGGTCTAAGGTTCAGGGATTTCCGGTCTGTAGGGTTTTGGGGGTTTATGGGTTTAGGGTTTAGGGTTTAGGGTTTAGGGTTTAGGGTTCCAGTTTCAAACCTTCACCTTCCCCAAGCATTCCTCCGACGCTGCAAAGGACCTGCACATCGAGTGCGGCAAGGCGCCTCCAAATTCATCCGTCTTTGGGGTTATGCCCCTACACACGAAACCCTCAAAACCCTAAACCCTAAACCCTAAATCCTAAATCCTAAACCCTAAACCCTAAATCCTAAACCCTAAACCCTAAACCCTGAACCCCAAACCCTGTCGTCCGTGTGCGTCTTGTGGCTTTGGTGGCTTCGAGGGCTTCAAGCATGTGGTTTGCCCCCCGCATTCCCACCTTCCCGACCCTAAACCGCACACCCTCAACCCTGAACCCTAAACCCCAAACCCCAAACCCTAACCCCCAAACCCTCCAAAAATCGCAAGACCTCATAAGTCCCGGCTTTAGTACCAAAGCCGGTGAAGCTGAGGGTATCCGGCTGCCAGAGAGTTGTTGCAGACCGGGCATACCCACACCAAGAAAATGTGGGGAGTGCCTTTTTTGGGACAAGTATTCTGCTCGACCACGGCCCTCAGTTGACCCTGGCAAGCTTGCTGCTGCTGCTCCTGTTTGGCCGCACGAAGCTCTGCGCGTCGGGCTGGGTGCGCGGGACAATGCCTAACGCAAGCTGCCACCCAAAACCAGTATCTGGCCTCCACCCGAAAGGCATTTCCGCCGGCCTAAAACAATCTTAAACATTCCATACCTAAGCCCTACAGCCCTAAGCCCAATAGAGCCAAACGCCTAATGACCTTAAACCCTGAACCTTGAACCCCAAACCCTCAAAAAAGCCCTGAGCCAAAGCCCTAGGGACCCTTCAAGCCCCAAACGCTAACAAACCAGAAGGGCTCGAAGCCCCAAGTTGCACGGGTGATCAACCCCACAAGTGCTAAGTTCAAGATGCCTAGAAAGACAGCCCTTGAAGTTTTTAGGGTCCTTAAGGGAAGGGGGTTTAAGGGGGGAATTAACCCCAGGTTCCCCAATGCTCCCCACCCCTCCCTGAGGCTCTCTAAGCTGCCATATGGATCCCTGAACCCTTAACCCTAAACCCTAAACCCTAAACCCTAAACCCCAAGCCCTAAACCCTAAACCCTAAACACTAAACCCTAAACCCTAAACCCTAAACCCTAAACCCTAAAACCATGCCCCCCATCATGAACTCCCCTCCCTTAAGCAGCCTAGAACCAAAAAAACTTAACAAATACAGCAGGGCTTGGAAGCCCTGAGAGCCCTACGAACCCTAAACTCTAGGGTTTAGGGTTTAGGATTTTGGGTTTAGGCTTCTTGGTTCTTCTTCATGTGGCTCCTTATGCCTACTGGTGGGTGTACATATTGGGTGTCCTTTAAAACATGACCTACCGTAAATCATACTAAATTCAGAGTTTTCTCTACGAAGGGGTATTGGAGTTTGCACCTAAACCCGAAAGCAGACGCCAGAAACTGGAAACCCTATCCCTAAACCCGGAAACCTACAGTCTACACCCTAAACCCTAAGCCCGAAACCCTAAACCCGAAACCCGAAACCCGAAACCCGAACCCTAAACCCTAAACCCTAAACCCTAAACCCTAAACCCTAAACCCTAAACCCTAAACCCTAAACCCTAAACCCTAAACCCTAAACCCTAAACCCTAAACCCTAAACCCTAAACCCTAAACCCTAAACCCTACCTCTGAAGAGGCCCTGGTCTTCTACTCGGCCCTCCACACCGTGGGCCACTGCATCGGCACGGTGCCAGGGGTGCTCCAGACTCTGAGCTGGAGAGGTTCAGGGTTTAGGGTTTAGGGTTTAGGGTTTAGGGTTTAGGGTTTAGGGTTTAGGGTTTAGGGTTTAGGGTTTAGGGTTAGGGTTTAGGGCTAAGGGTTTCGGGTTTCTGCAGGGTTTCAGGGGCTTTGGGTTTGTAGGGTTACACGCATGATGGGATTTACACGGTTGGCAAGGCCTATCTAATTTCGCGAGGTTTCGGAACAGCACCCGCACATCCTTCAAGAGCCTTAACACACATCCTCCCTTAATTAGTCATTCAACCGCCCAAGACCTTAAACCCTAGACCACAACCCCAACCCTTCACCTTAAAGCACCCTCCTAAACCCTAAACCCTAAACCCTAAGCCCTAAGCCCTAAGCCCTAAACCCTAAACCCTAAACCCTAAACCCTAAACCCCCCCCCCCCCCCCCCCCCGAACCCACCCAGCGAGCTCAGGAAGAGCGCGGAAGAGCTGAACGCGTTGCTCGGGTGCGCGCAGGAGGACCCGCCCTACGTCACTTACTTAGCCAATGGCTAAACTTTAAACTTTTTGGGCTTAGAGCTTAGGTGTTAGGGTTTAGGGATATTTAGGGTTCGGGGTTTAGGGTTTAGGGTTTAGGGTTTAGGTTTTAGGGTTTAGGGTTTCCTTAATTATTTGGTGGGAATAATAAAGTTTAGCCTGTTTTCCTTGGGTGCTGGAGAAGTAAGGTCATGCATTTGGACCTGAGCATCTTCCATTGGCCTCGGCGCCTCGACTTGTTTTGGCGCGTTTAGGGTTCAAACCCTAAACCCTCAACCCTAAACCCCAAACCCTAAACCCTAAACCCTAAACTCTAAACCCTAACCCTAAACCCTAAACCCTAGGGCTCAGTCTAGGGTTCAGGGCTTTTTCTGCGTGTGTGCGGTGCGAACCCTTGATGTGGGTCCCTAAACCCTAAACCCTATAAACCCTAAACCCTAAACCCTAAACCCTAAACCCTAAACCCTAAACCCTAGTCACAAAACCCTAAACCCTAAACCCTATATGACACTAGTCAGCCCCATAAACGCTGTACCCCTCATTTTAATTGGAGAGCCGAGGGTGCAACCTTAGTGATTCGGTTTTAGGGGCTTAGGGCAGCAGCTGTCTTCGTTTCTTGTTCACGGGCTGAAGTTCCTGTACAGGTTTGGGGTGTCAGGGTTCAGGCGGATTTTGGGGGGTTCAGGGGGGTTTAGGGTTCAGGGCTTTGGAGGTTCAGGGGTTTAGGGGAAGGAGGTTCGGGGTTTAGGGGTTCCGGGGTTTAGGGGTTCCGGGGCTTAGGGGTTTTGAAACTCAGGGGTTGAGGGTTTAGGGGTTCAAGGGTTTGTTGGTGCAGGGGTTCAGGAGTTCAGGGGTTTAGGGTTCAGGGGTTTAGGGGCTGGGGTTTAGGGTTCCGGGGTTTAGGGGTTTAGAGTTTAGGGTTTATGGGCTAGGGCTTAGGGGTTTAGGGTTCATGGTATCGCGTTTCTTGGCTTATTTTTGTGTTTTGTTTTTGGTGCTTAGAGCCCTATAGTCAAAAGAGCAAGTTTTTGCGCCTAGGGTTGGGGTCACGGACGAAGCCTTTGATGTCGGGCTTGGGGGTTTCAAACGGGCTTTGAGGGTTTGGTAGCTCAGGGCTGTGGGGTTTGCGTTGTGGGGGCTTGTAGAACCCTACATCCTAAACCCTAAACCCTAAACCCTAAACCCTAAACCCTCAATATGGTTAGGTTAGGTTGTTGGGGATGGAGTTGAGGCCTTTATAGGGTTCTAGGAGCTTCAGGGGCGCACGAAGGCATCAAGCCCTACATCCCCGCAGGGCAGCCGCCCAAACCCCACAACCCCAAACCCCAAACCCTAAACCCTCTAGCAATAAACTCCAAACCTCACTGAAACAAAAGCCCCAAACCGTCTAGCAATAAGCTTCACCTAACTGGGGGGCCTAAACCTTAATAATTAGACCCGAACATCCCAACAGCCCTAAAAGCCGAAAAGCCCCAACAGCCCTAAAAATCCTAAAGACCCTAAACCCTACACCCCTAAAAACCCTAAAAGCCCTAACAGCCCTAAAAGCCCTAAAGACCCTAAACCCTACACCCCTAAAAACCCTAAAAACCCTCAACCCTAAAAGCCCTTAACCCTAAAAACCCTAGAAACCCTTAACCCTAAAAACCCCAACAACCCTAGAAACCCTTAACCCTAAAAACCCTAGAACCCCTTAACCCTAAAAACCCTAAAAGCCCTAAAAACCCTAAAAACCCTTCAACGCCCCTCAAAGCCCCTCCAAAGAAGGCCTGGCCAAGCAAGGAAGGAGTCTGTTCTTTTTGGGGTTTAGGGTTTAGGGTTTAGGGTTTAGGGTAAAGGCCTCCACATGCCCCCAAAATGCCCCCCAAAACGCCAAACCTTTGTGGTTCTTTACTGTAACTTTCGATCCTTAGCCTTTTGGGGCTTATTGGATTTCTGAATAAGGCAGCTAACAACTTAATTTATAGCTACCCTCCTAAGTGCAGCCAAGTAACATGAGCCCAAAATACCTGAGCATAACCCAAAAAGCCCCCAAAACACCCCCAAAAAAAGGAACCCAAAATACCCGAAAGACGCCAACTACCCCAACTAAGCCCTGAAGTCTAAACCCTAAGCCCGAAACCCTAAACCCTAGCCAAAAAGCCCTAAATCCCCTCAGCACCCTAAACAACCTAAATACCCCAACGAAAGCCTAAACCCCAAACCCGAAACCCGAAACCCGAAACCCTAAACCCTAAACCCTAGCCCTAAACCCTAAATGCCCTAAGCATCCTAACTACCCCAAGGAAGACCTAAACCACCCGAGCCGAGGTGCCCACTCCTGGCGTCGGAGAAGCCCATGAACTTCACGGAGGCGTTTGGCTTGGGGTTTAGGGTTTAGGGTTTAGGGTTTAGGGTTTAGGGTTTAGGGTTTAGGGTTTAGGGTTTAGGGTTTCGGGTTTCGGGTTTCGGGTTTCGGGTTTCGGCTTTGGGGTTGAGGGTTTAGGGTTGAGATTCATGATTGACTTTCTTTACGAGATTGTTCATCCCTTTCTATTTATGATGAGTCGTTCCAGGGCCTTGCTCCGCTATAGACAAGAAAACGAAGGGGAAAAGATAACTCCTCTCTTTTGCTCAGGGGTTCCCCTGCCACCCCCCTCTCTATACTACTTTTCAGAGGTCCACCCCATAATTAAAGCCATTTAGGGACGCATTAAGGTTTAGGGTTTAGGGTTTAGGGTTTAGGGTTTAGGGTTTAGGGTTTAGGGTTTAGGGTTTAGGGTTTAGGGTTCCCTAAACCCGAAACCCAGTATAGAGGGTTGTAGTAGGGGAACCTCTCTTTTGCTGTATCTGGGGTTTGAGAGATACTAGAGGAAGAGCTCCTGGGAAGGGAGTGATCAACCGTAGGCTTCCTCTCTTGGTCTGTTTCTATCAGGGTTTAGGGTGTAGGGTTTAGGGCTTAGCGTTAGGGTTTAGGGCTGAAACTTTTCCCTACACTGGCAAGCCCTGAGCCCGATACACGCACAATGGGGTGTTGGCGGTCACCACGGTGGGTTAAAATGTTCTTCTTTCTGTAGCTCTGGGGCGGCTTAAAAGGGTGGATAAACGAGCTGTGACAGGTTGACTTTACCATCTTTGTTTCCTGGTCTTGGATGGGTTTTCAGGGTATGCACAAGGCCTGCCTATGTCTGTGAGCTGCGTCCCACTTACAACCGAGGCGTCCCTAAACCCTAAACCCTAAACCCTAAACCCTAAACCCTAAACCCTAAACCCTAAACCCTAAACCCATCAGGTTTAAAGCATTGGTTTGCAGGGTTTAGGATTTAGGGAAGTTTGAGGTTGAGCCCGGCTGCCCCTCCTTCCTCAGAAAGAAAGCTAGTTGCAGAATACATGTCTTGGGAGTCGGCGTTTCCGTGAGCCGGCTGGTTTAGGGTTTAGGGTTTAGGGTTTAGGGTTTCGGGTTTAGGGTTTAGGGTTTAGGGTTTAGGGTTTAGGGTTTAGGGTTTAGGGTTTAGGATTTGAAGCTTCTGCTGTTTCCATCAGCTATTTCTAGTACTGAAATCGGCTCTGGAAAAGGGCGTCTACTTGGTGATCTACTAATGTCTGCATGAGCCATCAAACACTAGACTATTACAGCTATGCCCGGGGTGGGGTGCCCAAGCCCTAAATCCCAAAGAACCTAAGTGCCACAACAGTTGAAATTTGCCCCTCACGATTCCCGACCCCCAAAGTGCCTAAGCCTTGAAAGCAAGCAGACACACCTGAGGGGTAGTTTCCTAAATTAGGGTCCTTTTTTTGGTTACCCATTAGAAGGCCGCACCCTTTAAAACGGGATCCCAAAAAGGGGCCCCAATGTCGAGAACTACCCATACTCTAAACCCTACACCCTACACGCTTAACCCTTAACCCTAAACCCTAAACGCCAAACCCTAGACCCTAAATCCTGAACCCCAAACCCTAAACCCAACAAAAAGCAGCCCGAAGAATTCCGCAGCGGCGCCGGCGGGAGGCCCTGTTCCTGACCCTCCCGGGGTTGACCGGCTTCCTACTGATTCTCGTGCCGGCCTTGTCATGGGGGCCGACTTGGGAGCTCGAAACCCCAAACCCTACTTGAGGGTTTAGGGTTTAGGGTTTAGGGCGTTTTAGGGGGTTTAGGGCGTTTAGGGCGTTTAGGGCGTTTAGGGCGTTTAGGGTTTAGGGTTTAGGGCTTAGGGTTTAGGGTTTAGGGTTTAGGGTTTAGGGTTTAGGGTTTAGGGTTTAGAGAACTTCTGGCTCAATTCTGGCTGTACTTCGAACCCACTTCTAGGCCCCTTAAGTGCCCAAATGTTGTTCTACTTGGGCGATCTGCGGGTTTACGAATTTAGGGGATCCTTTTTGTAAGGGGATCCGGTCTGTATTAGGGGCCCCTGATTTGCGCAAACCCCCCGTATGTGCAGTTTTTTCTCGTGTAAATGGGCTATTAGTAGGTACCATGCCCTAAACCCTAATCCCTGAAACCCCAAACCCCAAACCCTAAACCCTAAACCCAGGTGCTGGGAGTCGTGGCCTGGACCAGCCGACACCGCTACCGGGCCGCCCGCTTCGAAGTGTTCTGGAACCTTCACAACGTGGCCATTGCCGCGAGCTCGGCGTGTCCCTGTATGGGTTTAGGGTTTAGGGTTTGGGGTTTAGGGTTTGGGGTTTAGGGTTTAGGGCTACCCTAACTTTGGGGTCGGAAGAGATTACTAGTAGGATTCCCTTATGGTCCTTTGTAGGTATACTATAGGAACCCCCCCCCAAAAAAAAAAAACAAAGAACTATTCTAACTGAAAAGGCCCGATATCGTGTGCTTCTGTGTTTTGAGCTTAGGGTTGAGAGCCGGTTCTAGGTTTCGGCGGCAGGGTCCAGCGAGTCAGCGTTCAAAGTTTAGCTCGTCGCCTGTTCCCTTGTTGACGATTTTTTTTTTTTTTTTGGGGGGGGGGGGGTGGGGAGGGTTTAGGGTGGGGGGTGCTCTGATAGGTTCTGTTGAAGATAAATCTGGAGTGTCCAAAATTTCGCCACAGTTGTCAACACAAGCGGGCGCGCTTTGTAGAGGGATTGAGGTTGGGCGGAGGGGCCAACGAGGGGGAGCGGTTGAAAGCATGGGCATTCAAGGACTTGCAACTCCCTCCAGATGTGAACTGAATTGAACCATGAAGGATAAGCGTTTTGCAGGTTTTTTAGAAGTCTAGCAATAAACCCTGGATCAAGCCTTACTTTAGAACCCGAACCCTCCAAATCGAAACACATCATGCCTCACTTTAGAACCCGACATCCACCCCAAAAACTCCATCTGTGCCTAGGTCAGCTGGCCCGTTCTCCTCTTTTTCCACGGCTCCCAGGCGTCGACGTTTGCTCCAAGCAAGTCTAGGAGAGCGCAGGGCGGGTGGCGGGGGAGGGGGGGGGTAGGAGCGGAGGAGCAACTCGTGGTTTTTGGGGCCGAGGGGTTTGGGGTTTAGTCAGAGAGAGAGAGAGAGAGAGGGAGGGAGGGAGGGAGGGAGGGAGGCAGGGAGGGCGGGAGGGAAAGAGAGAGAGAGAGAGAGAGAGAGAGAGAAAGAGAAAGCGACTTACACTAACAGGGACAGAAAAGGAAGAAGCAACACAAATCAAGCAAAGGTTGTAAAAACAGGACTATTCCTTAGCGCCCTGCGCGCCTGGCCAGGGCTGGATAGGCATCGGCGTGCCGTTGGTGCTGGTTGTGGTTTCGCTCCCGATCCTCTTTTATGCCGTTAGCCGCATCGCGCGCCTCCTGCGCTACTACCTCTTTGTGCCTTGGGGACCACATGAACCCTAAAAGGGTTTATGGTCCATATGGGTTTAGGGTTTAGGGTTTAGGGTTTAGGGTTTAGGGTTTAGGGTTTAGGGTTAGGAGTTCTAGCAGTATAGAGGGTATACACCCACACCCCCCCCCCCCTCTTTTAGGGCTCATCCCGTCCATGAGGTGGGGAGGGCCGTGCAAATCTTGCGAGCCACCACCCGCCTGGGCAAAGATGGCAGCATGAACGGAGCCCTGACCCAGCTGCTTTGTCACAGTTGGGTACCATTTTACCTTTTTAAGGGTGCTTAAACCCTGTAACCTTTTTAAGGGTACTTAAACCCTGTAAGCAATCAAAGTTTAAATTTTTAATGTTATCCCAACCATGAACTAGGTTGGAGATCAGCGCTCCGCCGTATCTCTGGAGATTCCACGCCGGCATGTACCTGAACAGCCCGAGCTGACCTTTTTCTAGGTCATTGTAGTATAATGCCGCTTGTGTAGGATTCTTGGGCAGTGCAACCTGCAGAAATATGTAGTAGGTTGGGGGCTCAATTACGTTTCCCTAAACCCTAAACCCTAAAGCCGAATTCAATTAAGGTACGCTTTCATCTGCATGCCGGACTATGCCAAGCTTCAGTGGCATCCGTTCACCATCACCTCCGGCAAGGCCTCGAAGGGTTTTTGTCTAAGCCCTGAAGCCTAAACACTCCCAACCTCCCTGTAACCCTCGCCCTAAACCCTAAACCCTACACCCTAAATCCTAAACCCTAAACCCTAACCCCAAACCCTAAACCCTAAACCCTAAACCCCCCCCCCCCCCCCCCCCTCGAGGACGACGCGACCGTGAACTTCATCATTGCTGGGATCGGAGACTGGACCCAAGAGTTGGCCCGGCGGTGCTTGAATGCGGCGGAAGGCGGGGTTTAGGGTTTAGGGTTTAGGGTTGAGGGTTGAGGGTTTAGGGTTTAGGGTTTAGGGTAAAAGCTTCAGGTCTTGGTGTCTAAGGCATGCAACAGAAAAGCGCCATCCCAAGTACTCACTCATACTACACTAAAACCCTGAAGCCCCAACAAGACCTCGACCCCAGAAGCCAAACCAGAAACAAATCCTAACCCCTAAGCCCTCAACCCCTCACCCCCTCCAAGACCCGAAGCCCCTAGTTCTTCTGCCAGAAAAGCTCTCTAAACCCCCTAAGCCCTCTAAGCCCGAGACCCTAAACCTCTACAGTCCACAACACCCTAGACCCTGCACCCTATGCCCTAAACCCTAAACCCTAAACTCTGGACCCTAAACTCTAAACCCTAAACCCCAAACCCCAAACCCCAAACCCTAAACCCTAAACCCTAAGCCCTAAACCCTAGACCCTAAGCCCTAAACCCTAAACCCTAAACCCTAACCCCAAACCCTAAACCCTAAAGGCAAGGCGAAGATGCCCCGCGTGGCGCTGGACGGGCCCTTCACGGCGCCCACGCAGTCGGCCATGGACAAGAAGGCTCCAAAGCCAGGAATTCTCCAGGGTTTACCCTAAACCCTAAACCCTAAACCCTAAACCCGAAACCCTAAACCCTAAACCCTAAACCCTAAACCCTAAATTTAAGAGCCTCCGGCTCAAGCCGCCGACCCCGCTGGAGCATAGTTGAGAGGTCCCGCTCGCATGGTTCGAAGATCATCCCAGCCTGCTCGGCAGAGTTTTGTGAAACAGCTCAAGCCAAAAAGACAGGTGGGTGGGGTTGGGGGGGGGGGGGGGGGGGGGGGGTGGGGGGGGGGGGGGGGTGGGGGGGGGTGGGGGGGGGAAATACCTTTGTGTGCTGACGCTGTGCGGGTGGCACGGTCCTCCACGAAAAAATTGTGCACCGACCCCCCCCACCCCCTCGCGTTTTGGGGGGAGGTTTTCACACGCCGCCAGGGTCGGCGGACCCCAAACCTAAACCCTAAACCCTGAACCCTAAACCCTAAACCCCGAGCCCTAAACCCCCTAAGCTCAGGGAGCCAAGGGCTTGGGGTTCATAATGCCTTATGATAGCAAGCCCCCCCCCCCCCCCCCCCCCCCCCCCCCCCCCCCCCCCCATTAGTTCTGTTCCCTTGGTTCCCTAAGAGTAGGGTTTGGGGTTTGGGGTTTGAGGTGTGGGGTTTTAGGTTTGGGTTCTAGGGTTTAGGGTCTAGGGTATCCAGCTGTTGGAAAAGAACTGAACCCTCGCCATTGAAAAAACCCCTAAAGGCCCGAAAACCCTGCAACTCACCCTTCAAAATCCTAAAGCCTTGCCTGCTTTGGTGTTTGCCCCCCCCCCCCCCCCCGCCCCCTCCACAGTTGAAGCTGATTTTGTCTGTCTTTAATGACTCTTTAAATGGTCCTGGATTTTTGATGTGAGTTGAACAAGGATGAGGTTATATGAACTTGAAAGGAACAGCGAGGCACGGCAATTGATTGTAAAGGCGAGCCGCACGAAATTTTCTCGCGACTGCGGAAGACTTGACTTAATTGCGGACTCCAACTCTGCACATCCAGTCAGTCACGGGGTCCGACCAACTTGATTTTCTTCATGTAGTGCCCTAAATAAACCCTAAACCCTCAACCCCTAAACCCCCGCCGGAGCAGGAAGTCCCAAACCTTTGGACCCCCGACCCTTCTTGAAGGTTTATGGACACTTGTAAGTAGGGTTACGATTAAGGTCATCACCATAGTCACCCTACTTACAGCCCTACTTCTGTAAGTCCCTAAGCCCGAAACCCTAAACCCTAAACCCAAAACCCTAAACAAACCCGAAACCCTAGTCAGAGGTTCTCGTGGCGGTGGGGGCGGGCGTTGGAGTCACGCCCTTCCTCTCCTTGCTGTCCACTCTTATGGCGCAGCTCTTGGCCGGGCATAGCGAGCTCGTGGAGGCGTTTTGGCAGGGGTTTAGGTTTAGGGTTCAGGGGTTAAGGGTTTAGGTTTCTGGGTTTTGGGTTTAGGGTTTTGAGGTTCCGGGACGGCCCCATGGCTCAGGCTCCAAGTATACAACCAAGACCTCCAAAGTCTACAACGAATACCTGGTGAGTTCTCTAGATGATGGTCCCTTTGTGTGTACCCTAAATAAAAGGGGCCGCCGTATAATAAGGACCCCAAAAGACACCACATTTTAGAGAAGTGACCACTGGACCTGAACCCTAAACCGCGCTAAACCCTAAACCCTAAACCTGCTATGGAGTTAAGATGGAGTCCCGGGGATAGGGTGCAGAGTGTAGGGCTCGATTCGGCTCGATTTCACGTGTACCTGTTAGAATGCCGCAAAGCGGCTGCCACTCCGATAGCCACCCAAGACCCCTGGGCCCTACATAGGCCCATAGGCCCCAAACTAAGCCCTAAACCAGGCCCACTTCTTACTCGGTCACTCCATAGCCACCCTTAACCCCTAAACCCTAAACCCTAAACCCTAAACCCTAAACCCTAAACCCTAAACCCTAAACCCTAAACCCTAAACCAGGCCCACTTCTACTGGGTGACCCGGGACGCCAGCGAGTTCGTGTTCGGCTGGCAGATCCTGCGTCGCTGGCTCCGACACCCGGTGCTCCAGTCCAGGATCCTTGCGTGAGCCGACAGTCGCGCTTTCAAGATTTCTTTGGGGGGGGGGGGGGTTTGAAGAAATGTTTCGGGTTTAGGGGGTTTAGGGTTTAAAGGGTTTAGGGTTTAGGGTTTAGTGTTATAACCGGGATTTCGTGGTAAAGATTGGATTTCAGGATTTAATTATTTATTTTGTATTTTATTTGTTTTTTTGTCTTTTGCATCTGTGATTTATTTGAGAAGTGCTTGGAGACCCCATGTCGGATCTGTGATTTATTTGTGTTTTTTTCGGTGTTTCTTGTTTGTTCTGCCCTCTGGTCAGGATCTCTAATCTGTGTTTTTTTTTTGCGTTTTGTTTGCTTCTTTCTTTGTGATTTTTTTTGTGATTTTTATGTGTCTTGTTTCGTTGTCTTTCTGTTGTCTTTCTGCGCAATGGTTTTGGGTTGCCTTGGGGGTGTCACACGTGTGTACCTGGCCTAACGGATACCGGTGGTGAATGGTTGGCGGCTAGCGGCTGGGCACTCGGTTGCATCCGCTCTTTTTTCTGTACTGCGCAAACAAACCAAAGAAAAACAAAGAGGGAGACAGAGGGAGACAGAAAGCGAGAGAGAGAGAGAGAGAGAGAAAAAAAAAAAAAGAAGGAGAGAGAAAAAGAGAGAGAGAAAGAGAGAGAAAGAGAGAGAAAGAGACAGAAAGAGAGAGGAAGAGAGAGAAAGAGAGAGAAAGAGAGAGAAAGAGAAAGAGAAAGAGAAAAGAAAGAGAAAGAGAGAGAGAGAGAGAGAGAGAGAGACGAGGGGGCCATGTGCAGTGGAAGGAAGGAAGGAAGAGATATACAGAGAGAGAAAAAGATAAAAAGAAAGAGAAACAGAAAGAGAGAGAGAGAGAGAGAGAAAGAAAAAAGGAGGGAGGGAGGGAGGGAGAGGAAGGAGGAGGCGGGGAGGGGGGGAGTGAGGAATGGTGGAGGTGGGGGGGTGGGGGGGGGGGGGGGGGGGGGGGGCGGGGCGAGCCGGGGGCGGAGGAGGTGGACTTGGGGCGGGAAGGCGGGCGGCGAAGATGGGGTGGGGGCGGGAGGGGGGAAGGGGGGGGGGGGGGGGGGGGGCGCCGGGGCGGGGCGGTGGTGGACAAATTTTTCACACTTTTTTTTTCCACACTTTTTCAAACTTTTTTCACACTTTTTTTTACACTTTTTTCGCAGATTTGCAGCTATTTGATTTTAAATAAATTTTCATAAGATTTAAATCAAATTCTAATTAAAAACTACAATTAATTATTTTTTAATTAAAAATTAATATCTTAATAAGATTTAAATTTAATTAACAATTACAATTATAATTATCTTTTTAATTAAAAATTAACATTGTAATAGGAATTCTTATTAAAATTTCAAATTTTAATGAAAAAGATAATTCAAATTGTAATTTTTAATTAAAATTGAATTAAACTTATTAAAATTACGAAATTTAATTAAATTTTAATTAAAAATTATATTAAAATATTAGTTTTAATTAAAAAGATAAGAAAAATTGTAATTTTTAATTACAATTGAATAAAAATTAAAATTTTTAATTAGGTTTTTAATTACAATTAATATTTTAATAGGAAAAATATTAAAGGAATTCTTATTAAAAAATATCAATTTTCAATTAAAAACATAATTCAAATTGTAATTTTTATGTAAAATTTGATTAAATTCTTATTAAAATTAAGACATTTAATGAAATTTTAATTGAAAATTGCAGTTTTAAATATCTTTTTATTAAAAAAAGAATTAAAATTGTAATTTTTAATTAAAATTTAGATAAATTCTTATTAAAATATTAATTTTTAAGTAAAAAGATAGTTAAAATTGTAATTTTTAATTAACATTTAATTTAAATCTTATTAAAATTTATTTAAAATCAAATAGCGGCAAATCTATGAGAAAAAGTGTGAAAAAATGTGAAAAATGTGTGAAAAAAGTTTGAAAAAAGTGTGAAAAACTTGCCACCCACCGCCCCCTTTCGACCCCCTTTTTTTTCCCCCAAGGCCCCCCCCCCCCCCCCCCCCCCCCCCCCCCCCCCCCCCCCCCCCCCCCCCCCCCCCCCCCCCCCCCCCCCCCCTTCCCCGCCCCTCCCCCCCCCGCCCCCCCTCCCCCCGCCAAGCATCTTTCTCGCACATCACATTCCTTGATTGTTAAGATTATTGAAAATCTCAGACATACGTCGAAGTTTAATTTAAGATTTAAAAGCCAACAGAAAACTCTATGAGTTCGAGCCGAATTTGATCTTCAGATAGATGATCGATATATTCGATGCCCGGGACAGAGAGAATCCTTCTGCAATTGTGCTTGAACGCCATCTGGAACCCCCCAGCGGCCGTAGCAGCATCCCCGTTTAACTAAAATTAAACTAAAGCAAACTTAAAGACTTAATTAAAACTAAACTTAAACCTAAACGTTAAGCCTGCAAGTCCGCGAGAGAAGTGAGCAGAAAAGAATAAACATTGGCCAGCTTCCCACGTCGAACCCGCCAGCCAGACATGTGTATAACGGCTTAGGCTAAGATTCGATAGAGTGTAGCTTGCTGAAGGTGTCAAAATCTTCAATCTAATCAAGTAGCTACGTCACTAGTCACTCACTAGTCTAGTAGCCAACCACACGCGGGGTCCTTCACTTGAGCTGCGGCTGCCATAGATTTGTCACATTTCCTTCACACTTTTTTCACAGATGTTCACAGATTTTCACAGATTTTTCACAGTCCAGGAACAGCAGAATCACATTTTTTACACTTTTTTCACAGATTCCAAACCCCACATCGCCACAGCTACAGATTATTCACACATACCGATTACAAAAAAAACACACTTTAATCACAAAAATAATTCCTGACATCGCCCCCAGTGATTACCACAATTCCAGGTTATAAGTTTAGGGGTGCCCGGAACTTTTGGCGACAACGGGTTATAGCTTCTTTTGTGAGCAGTGCCCTGGCTGGAACCCTGAC